AAACTGTGTAGACCCGAGCTAAAATTACTGTGTGGTTTTTGAACCATTACGGGCCGAGTATGCAATTCCAGGTTCAACGATTCTCATGGCTCCCTCGTGGTCGACTCTGTGCCTGCATAGCAGTAGAAGTTTCAGAACCATACTTGGAGGATCATGGGACTTAGTAAGTAGGGTTATAAGTCCCTCATTTGGGCTTATAAGTGAATATAAGTACCGTTACCGTAATTATAACCCTAGTTACTAAGTCCCATGATCCTTTAAGTAAGATGGCATCAACTGTTGCAGAAAGACTCCCTGACAAAAGAACCTTAAGTTCCTTGCAGCTGTCATGGATTTGCCTTATAAGCCCTATAGACCAAAAGGAAAAAGCACCCAAAACATCGCACGGAGGCCTCATCCACGTCCAAACAGTTGAAGAGCATGTCGACATCACCTGCCCAGCACCTCTCCGCGACTTCGAGGGTTTGGGTCCAACATTACGGGCCCAAAATAACAGAATACGTTTGAAGCTGCCCCCACGTGTAAAGGTGACTATAAGGATTATATTAGGGCCCTATTATATTCCTATTATACCACTATTACAGGGTGGGGGCCCCTCCTAAAGAATATGCGTTCTGGGTACATGCTCGCCGTACGTTGAATAAGAGACCCAAAGAATCCTGTGACTAGTTACTCAGGCCAATGGCAGGGTCGCATAGGGAGAAGTCTGTCAAAGGTGTCCAGCAAAATCCATACTGGCCTTCATGCATTTATGCATGAGCCCTTTCCGAAAACCCCTAAAGCCCAAACCATAGGCCCTAAATTTCCGACACCCTAACTGATCCTAAACACAACACAATTACAATGCCTCTAAACCTTCTATCTTTCCCCAGCCCCATTCGCAAACACAAGCCAGTCACACTTACACATTCGGGGGGCCAGGAGGAATGACATAGGCTCTTCGACAAGACTTGGTCGTGTCGGCATAGGCTTTTGTAGGGTTGGTGTTGGGGGCCTTCGGATATATGGCTTAGGATTTGTGGGTTTAAGGCTTAGGGCTTCAGGATGCTACAGGGTTTAGGGTTGAGGGTTTGGTAGCCAAAGAAGGGCCTCCAGCTGAAGCTCTTCACTCTTCACCTGCAGCATGCCCCTTCCACTAAATCCCTACATCCTGAACCTCTTCTATGCCCAATACCCGAGACGGGCCCCACTCCAAGAAGCCCTACAAGTGAATCCAGGGCCCTAGACCCTGCCTTCAACTACCCTAACCTCCTTGCTTTGGTAAACCCTAATCTAGAATGAGCTAGAAAGTACAGGGACCCTACAAGGGACAGGTTTTGGCAGCTAAAGCCTGGCTATCTGTGCAAAACGTGGTGCCTCTTCTGGCATGCCTTGCGCAGCTCATGCCGGCTAACTGTACCACTTCCGTCCTCGTCGGCTTTTATGTGGGTTGGGGTGTAGGCTTTAAGGTTTTAGGGTTTTAGGGTTTTCGGTTTAGGGTTTGGAGCTTTAGGGTTTTAGGGTTTCGGGTTTAGGGTTTTAGGGTTTAGGGTTTTCGGGTTTAGGGCTTTAGTGTTTAGGAGCCTCGCCCAGAAACCTCCGTGGTTGGAAAAGGGGCCCTTCGAAGTAGAATTGGGTTTGGGGGTATCTTGCATTACGGTGTAGAAGGAACCCTGAGGAATAGAGTATTCAGGTATTTGGCTCTTGTTCTCTTACAGGTGTGTTTTCTGGTTCAGCTGAGGTGCCAGGCCCTTTCGTGTTGGGCCCTGGGGTTTCGAATCTGGCCTTTTGGCTGTTTAAGGTAATTGCACAGACATTCCTTGGAGTTGAGGGATTCCCCATTTCTAGGCCCAGCTAAATCAAGTATCGTAATTACATGTGCTTGCCTGGCCCCTCTGGGAACTCCAAAAAAATACCTCACAAACCCCACAGAAAACTCTTACAGGGTTAAAACCCCACAGAAAACTCCCTAAACCCTAAACCTGAAGAAAACCCCACAGAAAACTCCCTAACCCCCAAACCCCAAACCCTAAACCCCAAACCCTAAACCCCAAACCCTAAACCCTAAACCCCAAACCCAAACCCCAAACCCTAAACCCTAAACCCCAAACCCAAACCCCAAACCCCTTAGAAGCCCCACAAAAAACACTCAGAGCCGAGATCCCGGCCGAGTCCAAAGCCGCGAAAGCGCGGCCAACGGATCCGAAGAAGCGTTCGGCCCAGGCCTCGTTCTTTAAGGTTTTGGTTTCTTTTTCGAGCCCCTTTTGCCATCAGCACTCCGTCTAGGGGTTTAGGGGTTAAGGGTTTTGGGGATTTTAAGGTTTAGGGGTTGAGGGGTTAAGGGTTTTAGGGTTTAGGGTTTAGGGCTTAGGGTTTGGGGTTTAGGGGTTTAGGGGTTTAGGGGTTTAGGGGTTTAGGGGTTTTGGGATTTTAGGGTTTGAGGGTTTGAGGGCTGATAGGGGTTTAGGGGTTAAGGGCTTTGGGATTTATGGTTATTTAGGGCTGATAGGGTTTAGCGGTTTTGGGGTTTCTGGATTTTAGGGTTTGGGGCTTAGGGCTTTGGGCTTTGGGATGTTTGGGGTTTTGCGGTCTTTGAGGTTTAGGGTCAAGGGTTTGGGGTTGGAGTTTAAGGTTTAGAATTGAAGATGAGGGAGGTTGGGGTCAGAGGGTTGCTATAGTTGGCGTTTCGTAGGGTTCTACTAGGTGATCATAGGGTTGTTTAGGGCGCTTTTGAAGGCTTTCTGGTGCTATAGCACGGCATCTCTGCATGAGTCTTTACAGGGCATTGCTAAGATTTTGGAGTGTTGCTAGGGCCGTTGTAGGTGTGGTTACAGAACTCATATGGGCTTATGAAGTTTGTTATTTGCCTTTGAGGGATTAAGGGTTTCGGTTGGTTTTTTAGGGCCTTGATGTTGTGGTCTACAGGCGTTTCTAAGGCTTTCAGGTGGTTGTTAGTGATTTTCTGGCTTTGGCTTTGTTTACTGTTATGCTCTGGAGCTTGGAAGAGTGTAGTAATTATGGGCTTATTTGGTTGTTATGGGTCAGTTCTATGGCCTTTGTGCACTCTTTATATTTCGGGTCTGCAGGTTCAGGATTTAAGGATTTAAAGCAATAAAGGTTTAGGGCTTTACGCTGCCAGAATTTGGGGATTTAGGGTCCTCGAACTGTCGAGCTTTTAGGGTTTAGGGTTTAGGGTTTAGGAGATTCAAGGCAGTGTCACCGAAACTTAGCCTCGGACGGAGCAGGGGAGGAGGGGGTGGTGCTGAGCTTAGAGTTCATGTCCTGTGCTTGCTTTTGCTTTTGTCCGTTGATTTCTCCTCGCATTGGATCAGTAGGGTTTAGGGTTGTTTTGGATTTAGGGTATGTGGCTTTTGAGACGCCCACGGAAGAACGCACTCTCTGTCGGCTCTACATGTACCTCGTCTTAGTAGGGCTCACCTCAACAGCTTCCTGCTACACTGCCTCCTAAACTGGCGATCTGCTCCGTAGAAATGAAAATTCCAGAAGCAAGTGAAAGAAAGCCATAAAGCCTAAACTCCAAAACCCTAAACCGAGATCGGAAGCCTTCGTGCTCAAAACCCTTAAACCTTGTACCCTCCCATAACACCCCCCTCCCCCGCCCACAAACGACAAAAACACAAGAAGCCGTCGTAACACCCTAAACCCCTAAAGCCTTGCAACACCCTACATCGAAATCTCCAACCTCGAGGAGCCCTGCAGAAGACCGGGAAGCCTTGAAAGAGTGGAGCAGATCAGCCGAAACTCGGTCGTACCTTTGATTTAGGGGTTTACGGCTTCAGGGGATTGAGGGTTTCGGGTTTAGGGTCTGGGGTTCAGAGCTTAGAGTTGAGGAGTGTGGGATGGAGGCTTTAGGTACACAAGGCTGATGCCAAGGCCTACCACAGGTGGCGATGCTCTCCTCCATGCAGTTCATGAGCATCCTAAACCCCGACTAGACCCAAGAGTACCCGAGGAATAAAAACGGTTCCCTTTTTGGTTTAATGGGGCTTGTAAAGGAACCTGAACCCTTAAAAAAGGGAATAAGGGCCTACTCTAGGTCCTAGCCGATGGGAGATCTTGGGCCCAAAGGCTTGCTTCAAGGAAGGGGATCTGCAGAGCCACGTCCGGAGGCATGTGGGAGTTTCCGGAAATAGGGGACCCTGATATGGCACCCTAAATAGTAGGATCCTAATTATTATATGGACCCCAAAATGAGGTACCCCTATTTTCGGAAACTCCCATGTAGCTCCAAGCGCAGACCTTGAAAACTCTGGCATGCGCCTTTTGCACCCTCTGGCGTGCCGGCATCGTTGGCTCAGCCGCATGACCTTCTCTTCGAAGTTGCACTGACTGCACGCAAATGAACTCATCATATTCTCATCTCAAACCGATGTCGTGCTTCATGCCTAGCGCAGATGACGATGACGGTACATGGAGACGTGTCGTTCACCTCATGAGTCCCGAGACGGCTGGCAACAACCGTCCCAAACCTGTCTTTCAGTGACGCGTTGACGGTCACCGCAGTGAGTCGCCACTATTATCACGAGAGCCACCTCGATCTGAAGGTATCTGGACAGGTACAATATCTTGGGCCATCGCAGGCAGAGGCAGCACAGTATCGCAGATTTCAAGCCCAACCCTAAGCCCTAAACCGTGGAAGTATATCCTCAAGATCCAGAGATTTGCTGATTGAAGACACGAGGTCTCCCTGTAAATGCAGAAACTTATCACCGAGGCCTGCTCGAAACCGCCGCAGGCACTGTAAGCACATGTAGATTCTCCGCTCAAACTCCACAGCTCGAAGCTGCTGAAGACTAAATGAGCTTCTGTAGCCTCGACTGGATCTCCAGGACTTGGAGGTAGCCGAACATGCCGGCTTCTCATCCATGGCCACTTGGTCTCAGAGACTTCGCATCACCGATTCTCAGGTTTAAATCCCATGCTACGCAGGTTCACGGATCCCGTGCGGCACGGATGACGTCAGGCGAGATATACAAAGCTACCAATCGGCCACTCGGATCTCAACCCAGGGGTTTTCCTGTCAGCACCTCGTTATCATCGTGCATCGGGCCCAAAAGGCGCGCCACTTCCAAGTGAGTACTCCGACACGCCGCCTCAGTGGACAAACAAACAGCTCCAACAGTAAGACTGAGCCCTGGTAGAAAGGACCCTCCCTAGAAACTTGCATTGTACCTCTGAGGGAACCAAGACTTCTAGGATCAAAAACACTCCTAGATGCTGAAGCAAACCCGGCAAGGAGCAAGGAATGGGGTGATACCATGGTCTGTAGCTTTGTTCCTGTCCGCGCCCGCCTCCAATAGCAGTTGGACCACCTCCACGTGTCCTGCCTGGTTGTTGGGTTTGCAGAACTCTGCGCTTCGGAGCTTCTGATCAAGCTACAGGAACCACACAGCCTAACCCCTGCAGAGACCCCAAACTCCAGAATCGTAGATCCACGAAGGCCAATCCCCCAAGGGTCCAAGTACCCAATAATCATATACTCTCCAAAATCCTAACCTACATAACTACTATCCTAAAACCGAGTATCTAATTATTGGGTCCTTTGGACCCTTGGGGATCCTTTCAGTCACGCGCCTGGCATGCAAGCAGCAGGGCCGTAGCTCCCGTGGTTGTGCAGCGATCCTCTCCGAGACCAAGAACGAAACCGAAACTCTAGGCCCGAAGATTTCAGAACTTCTGCACGTTTTAGGGTTTAGGGTTTAGGGACGTCATGCACGAATGAAGTTAGGGATTTGGCTTTCCAGGGCTGTTTTTTACCCATTGATCTTCTGGCTGGCATCCTTCATGTCAGTTTCCTTGCAGATATACAATGAGCATATGATATCCGGCGAGACAAGCATCCCCCAAGAATCCCCGGGCTAAGACTTAACTAACGGGTTTGGGGAGAACAGCGGACAGAAACGGCGAAGTTCCCCAAAGCTGCACCCACGACATAAGGAGGCAAATAGGAGCCCCGAAGTATCTAGAAGCAGCGTTTGCTTGTTGTGAGGTGGCCTGTTGTTCTATGTAAACCATGCACCTTGAAACCAGTGAAAACTCTCTGTGGAAACGAACACACGATGTAGCCGACATGGCCCCTTAGAAACATTCTGTCAAAAACGACCAGATGAATAGACTTCATCACATAAATGCTCCAATTCAGAACCCTAGACCCTAGACCCTACCTGTAGTCTCCATTGTAGTTCTTTTCTGAGGCTACTTTGTACTGCATCCTAAACATAAAAATGGCTACACCAAAGGGATGAACTGCAACGGAGGCTATGGGTAAACGAATGACCCGAAACCGACGTCGCAGCTCGAATCTAAGCTTCCAAAGCGTGTTTTCTCCAACTCCATGGCGTTCTGTTTGCAACTAGTAATCTCCCAAATGGTTCAGGGTTTAGAGATTTCTCGGCGAATAGACTTGGAGCCAGGTGTCACTGTAAAACTCCAGTCACAAACGCCGTTGTTACAAGCAGACTCCGCCAAAACATCTTGGCCTCCGAAAATGTCAAAGACTCTCAATAGCTGCACGTGAGTCTCTGTATGGTGGGCACGCACAAGATTGCTTGTGCAAAGAATCAAGCGAGGGGCCATCCAGTACAGGGCCTATATTATAGTAGGACAAAGACTCCCCTTAACGTCCCGATTAAATTCTGCTACAATAGAAGGCCTTGCAATTTCGATCTCCGTCCTTGTCTGCTCCAGAGAGCAGCAGCAGCTGCACGACACTTCGGTGGCCAAGGCTCGCCGCCACCAGGAGTGGTGTGCGTCCGTCACTATTGTAACCCTCGTCCAGGGCTCAGCTGAAGGATGAAAGTAAGTGTATACTGTACTGGCAGTAAGATTGAAAGCAATAGTAAGACAATGAAGTTAAGAGTTTTACCTGTAATAATAATAAGACTAAAACATGAGGCGAAGAAGAAGGGTACCTAATAAGAGGAAGAATAGCAATGGTCATCAGAACAGTAACAATAGTACTACTGTGACTGAAGATTTTGGAGTTAAGGGCTTCAGGGAGAAGAAGGGTTTTTTTGACAGGAACCGATACCACCTGCAAACCGAGTTCCCGCGTTTCAGACTAGGGTTTAACACCATAGAACCCGTAGCAACCCTCAACATAGGTCCCTTAGTTGCTAGAACATGGCCTTGGAGCTTTCTAGTATACATATAGCAATGAACCCGGCGACACACACCTTCTGATATTCAGTGATCTTAAGGACTATTATCGCCCATGACTATCCTCCTATGTCCACCTTGTCATGGTCCGCCCGGGCTTCCAGAAGAAGCCGAACGATCTCGAGGCTGCCAACCTGGCAGTCTCAAAGGGTCCTACTGCTGATGGACAAAATCCTACATGACCTTAAGGACCCTAAACTATGGGAATTATGGTATATTCCTTATAATGGGTAATGCAGGATTTTGTCCATCAGCAGTATGTACTGTTACGGGGGATACTTCCCTCAGTCATAATAGTACTTCCTAATATGGAAACCCTACATTCTACTATATCGGTACGTAGGACCCTTTGGGAGTTTCGGCCAAGGATCTACGCCAAACCCTAAAGCCCTTAAAGCCCAAACCTTCATAGATTCTAATGTGGCTCTGTATATTGGCGCAGCGCGTTGACATGGGTTTTGGGCAGCTTGCAGTGGGCTTAACAACGGGAATAGGGTTTTGGGCAAGATAGGAGGAAAGTCATAGACTTGAAGCTCGCGCTGTCTTCAAGGGCTGCATGGAGTTCCTGGGTGTTTTGTGAGGTTGACGGTGCTTCTTAAACCCTAAACCCTGAAACCCTAAACCCTGCACAGCTTCATGAAGGCTTGGCGTCAGTCTTCCTAGGTCTCGGATTTTTCTTCAAACGGCTCTCACGGGGCTTGTACGGGTCCTTAATGCGTGAGGCAGTTTGACATGGCTTCAGGGGCTTAATGATTACGTTTGGTTAGTAGGGAATGGAGGAATGGGGTACAAAGATAATTATTATTACCATTTGTCTTCCATTCCCTACTAACCAAAGGTAAGAATGCAGACCGGTGGTTGATGAAGCCCCTCTCTGGGCTCTCAACATTAGGGTGGTTGTCAAAATTATGGTCTCTTTCTGGATCCCTAAAAAAGTACGGCACCTAATATTCAGGGTACCCAAGAAGGTACCATAATTTTGTATTCCTCAACCCCAAGGAGGGTTTAGGGGGGTTTAGGGTTTACACTAGGGGTTTTGGGGAGTTTAGGGGGTTCAGGGTTTTTGACAACCACCCATTAGGACCCCTGTTGTATCAGAGCCTCTGGGCTGATAGGGCTCTCGGGTTTGGAACTCTGAGTTCGGGGCGGGTAGCTGGGGGCCCTCTAAGGCTCATGTAATGCTGGAATAAGGTTTTTGTTTTGGGGGAGGATGTTATGGCAAAAGTATACAACGACCATGACTATCAGGGGATATCATGACTATATAGATGCTCCGAGCCCGGTCATAAGCCCTAAACCCAACACCCAATAAGCCCCAGCCCTGAGCCCTAGATCCCTAAGCCCCATACCCTGAAGCATTGGGTTGCCTAGACCCTCCATCTACCCTCTATTAGACCCTAAATGCCCCTTATTTGGGACCATATACCCCTATTTGAGGGTACAAGGAAGGTCCTGATGGAAGGAACCCTTATAGTACCCTTTAAAGGAACCCTTATAGTACCCTTTCAGAAAACCTTATAATACCCTTTAAAGGAACCCTTATAGTACCCTTTAAAGTGAGCTTTCTAAATTCCCTCCCCCACCACCTGACTGCCCAAGAGCAGAGGTGTAGCACCAGAGACTTCCTCGATGCGGGTTTAGGGCTTTAGGGGTCCAGGGGGGTTTAGGGTTTAGGGGATTTAGGGTTTAGGGTTTAGGATTTAAGGGTCTAGGGTTGAGGGTTTCGGGTTTAGGGGTTTCGGGTTTAGGGGATTTAGGGTGTAGGGTTTCGGGTTTAGGGGATTTAGGGTGTAGGGTTTCGTGTTTAGGGGATTTAGGGTTTAGGGTTTAGGATTTAGGGGATTTAGTGTTTAGGGTTTAGGATTTAGGGTTTATAGGGCTTAGGGTTTAGGGCCACTATTCCTTTCGAGCCATTGATCATCATGCTCGTGCTTTCTTGTTTTGTCGATTTCTACTAAGGGGTGTGAGCGGAGCAGGGCTTACGGTTCCAACACGGGCATGGGCTTTGAATATACGATTTCGCATTCTTGATGCGAAGGTCCCTCGCAGGGTCAACTACATGTTGTTTTGAGGGGATCCCGAACGGCAACGTATGCTAACCATCATGATGATTGCCGCTGGTGCTACGACTGCGGTGCTGTCCTGTTGCTGTTGCGACCATCTTGGGTGCGTAGCTGCGTAGCCTGAATTTTCAGCATGCGCATGACCGCTGTTTTGGTTTTCTGGGAGCGCGTGCCGCAACTCCTACGGCCGACCCTGAACCCTAGACGCTCGCAGCGGAAGCCTTTATGTATAGAACTCTTAAATGGTGCGAGCAACAGCACAAACTCTGCCGAACCACCCCTAAACCCTAACCCCTAAACCCCCTAACCCCTAAACAGCTAAACCCTACACCCTAAACCCCTTATAAACCCTAATTAACCCCCTAAGCCCCAAAAAAAGTCAGGCTTGAGAAGAGCCACGATCCTCTTCTCCAGCTCGGCTCTGACCCTCAGCAGCAAACACGCTACCTCCGCGTGTCCGTGGGCCGCAGCCAAGCACCTGGAGGCTTTGCGCACACAGATTCAGGCGTTTAGGGTTTAGGTTTAGGGTTTAGGGTTTTGGGATGAAGGTTTAGGATTTAGGGATGAAGGTTTAGGGCTTCGGGCTCAACTTTTACATAATAGGGTTATGGGCTGTAGGATAGTAAAGCTTTACGGTGTTGACAGATCTCTCCCGACCATGGCAGCAGTTGCAACGAGCATTCTGCTTGTTCATATTGCCAAATGCGTTTGCAGATAAACATCCAGTCTGGAATGCATTGAAAACAGGGTTCTGCAAATGTCTGCTACGCTCATATGCATCGTGCCCTGTTCTCCACTTTCTGGCCTTTAAGCATTGGGGCTGTCGGTTGCTGTAAGAAGGACCTGCTAGTTTTCAGTTCAGCAACGAGGGACAGCGCAAAACCTCAAGACTTCAGAGAAACACAAGTTCGCGTGCCCTAAACCGTAAACTCTGTGCTGGTGCCTATTGTGTAGGGCTTCGGGTGTCAGGTTCAGGGTTCAGGCCGAAGCCGATACCCTAAACCCCAAAACGCAAACCCCAAACCCGTTAAAACCCCACAGAAACCACCCTGAACCCAAAACCATACTAAACCCTAAACCCTAAATCGTACACCTCACACTTGCCAGCCGAAGGCGCAAAGGAGTAGCCCCATCCCCGGCCCGCTCCTGCAGAACGCAGGTCCACTCAGCATTGAAGTTTCATCCTGATATTAGTGCCTTGATAATTGAGAAAGGGAGTTGGGGTTACGGTTTACGAAATTTACGGCTTAGTTAGAGTCTTGGTGCATACTGTAAAAGAATCTCAATCAGGAACAATGAGTAAGAGTCTTCCTGATTGTTCAAGCTTCCATGTTGCCAAACTCTAAAGCACACCTAACATGTTCTCTGAGAACTGAGATGAGGGATGGGAATATGGAGCTCATACCCTCTGTATACCTCCTGGTCGAAACCCTGAATGTCTCAAACGCCTCTATACTAGACGGCTATGTGTTGAGTCATGTGCACACACAATACAACGATCTTGAAGGCTTGCGGGCTTAGGCGGTCTGGACTATGAACCCTCACAGTCCGAAACACCCCAAACGCCCAAAACACCCATGCGCTAAACCCGAACCCTAGTCGCTCAACACTAATTACGCCACAAAGCCTAAACCCTTTCTCACCCTAAACTCGCAGCTCCAATCCCTAAACCACCAACGCGAAATCCTGAAGTCAAGAACCCAACCCTAAACATTAAAACCCTAAACCCCAAACCTCCAACCCCATGTCCTGAAACCCTAAACCCCAAATCCTAAAAACCTAAACCCTTAATTCCACCCACACGCTTAACCCGAAGCCCCTCTCCCTTCCGCGCCTGATTGGCAGAAGCCTTTGCCTCAAGAAGCAGCCGTGCAACCTCAAGGTGACCGGACCTTAGCAATTTATGGAGTCTGGAGGGTTTAGGGTTCGAGGTTTAGGTTTTAGGGTTTAGGGCTTGGGCTGTAGGTTGTAGGGTTGGGGGTTACAGAGTTGTTTCGAGCTCCTTGTTGCACCTGTCCCTAGGTCAGGGATTTTAAGGTTTAGGGTTTAGGGTTTGCAGTTTGGGGCTTAGGGATTGAGACTTAAGGCTTGTTTAGGGTTTAGGGTTTAGTGATTTATAAGCTAAAGAACTAAGCTTTGGTTGGGGAGTGCAGGGTGGAGGATGGTTGCTGGCTTGAGCTGCTGGCTTGAAGGTTTGCGTGTTAAGACAGTGGGTTTACCCACAGGCCCCATAGTAGTTCCTGTTTGGGATGACCTTATAGGATTCTAAACATGAACACCAAAAAGGAACTGGGGCCTACGGGGATGACTGCTGGCCTTCCTGGAGATCTTGGTGCTTCTATAATTCCTTCAAGTTTCGAGGTGCATTCCTGGTATGTAAATGCCGAGAGGCCGCTGGAAAACTTTGTGTGTTTGTCGAAATTTCTGTTTAGGGCTTAGGGTTTCGAGGTCTCTGATCCTGTTCTGAATCTTGGTTGTGCTTCTGGACTGTTACTGTTTCGGTTGTTCTTGTATAAGTTTCTGGGTAGCTTGTCAAAAACACACATAAACTAAGAGGAGAAAAAAGAGAAGAAAACATGGGCAAATCAGAAACAAACCAAAACATACACCTAGGGAGATCAAGAACAACGCAGCGAAAATCGAGGCAAACCGAAAACGCGTCAACACAGTTCAAAATATGTAGTTCCAAAAAATGACAAGAACCTACTATCAACAGAAAATCATCAAAATGGTGGCATCTACCAAAGCCTAACAAAGAACACAAAACCATCATCAACTGAGATCAAGAACCATTCAGAACACCGTTTAGTAAAACTCAAAAGCACAAGCAAGAACCTAGGAAAATCAATCACAACTGATAAAACATAGGCAAATCAAAAACAAAAGCACATAGTGCAAAGCCTGGCGAAATCAACTCAAGTAAACAGTCTAAGGAAATCGCAACGACCACATCAACCACGACTGAACAAACACTTCAAACCTACAGAAAATCAGACAACGTTCATCACCCATCAGATCTAAACCCAACCCAAATCATGAAGAAGAAACGCATTCCGAAATAAATCAATAGCTCATACCAGTCATGAACCAAGCATTCCAAGCATTTAATTGTCGGCACCGTCCCATGACAAACCAGCCGAGGAAAGTCTTAAGGACAGGTTTACGTGTCCATATTGAATTGATGACCCTTTGTGCCCAAACCCTATAAACATCTAATCCGGTCGCTAGCATTGAGATGGTACCTTAGTAGGTAAACTTTAACCGAAACTAGACATGATATCAAAGTGCCACCTACATACCTTTTCACAACCGAACTTCGAATTCAGGCAAAGAGGCATGGCAGCCACTTGCAAGGGAGTCCTCTGAGGAATGGTACGATTGCTACGTTACCGATGTCAAATCGAGCTATGCGTGCTTCAGACTGCTAAGTGTGAGGGTGAGCGTGCTATGATATAAGGAACCCAACGATGACAGAACATCGGGTAAAGCTGCACTGGGGCTTCAGAATGGAGAACTTATTGCACATAAGCTGGCTCGAATCTTGCAGTGCATCAGGACCGAGTGCGGCATTCTCACGTTTTATTGTGGTATAGACGAGTCTGTTGCCAGCCAGCATTACAACGAGACATGATCATGCAAGGTGTTGAGCTTTTACTTGGTACAGGCTTTTTTCAACACCAACCAGAAACAATGAAGTTAGGGGCCTTCATATGAGTGTGTAGGTTCTATGCGAGAATTATATTGAAAATTGTTCAAACCCCTTTAGTATGCTATCAGCGGATATTTAATGGAACCCCCCCCCCCTCCCCCCCCCGTCAACGGCGCCTCTGTCCGTGGTCAGTCGAACTTGAAGACATATTGGAATGTACTAAACCCCCAACATACTGTACGCTTCGGGTTGAGGGATATTTTCCGGTTCAAACTTCCTACACTTTGAACCCGGCTTTGAATCCTTGGCGTGATCGATGGTCCTAGACGTCGTTCTGCACGCCTTCAATCGAGCATAGCCAACTTAAATTCGTTTCAGCATCGCGTCGCGGCTTTTCGGGCAATCCGTTGAGGACATACTCAACCAGCCGCTTGAAAGTAACCAGGGTTTGATATGAGTACGATTCGAGCTCAAGGTCAAACTGAGATTGCAATGTTGCCAAAGGACCGAGAACCTTGTCGACTCGATACCTCCTACTCAGGATCGACAACAATGCTGGTCCACTCGGCATTGACTCGGCTGCATGGCCGCGCTCAAGATAGGATTGGGCCTGCAGCCCCCACTCTCCCTTGAGATGCTTTGCATCGCACAAAGGGGCAGACAGCCATGCGTCTAGCTTTGGGAGGCCTTCATAGTCTGCCTGATAGCGTCGCGTATCTGTGATTGTACTGGTGGAGCGCCTGAGCAGCGCCCGCACGGGGCGCAAAAGCACCACTGGATGGCGAAGGTGGGCGAAGGCGAAGAAGCCTGATGGCCAACCCTAAACCCCTAAACCCCTAAACCCCTAAAGCCCTAAACCCCTAAACCCCTAAACCCAAAACCCCTAAGCCTAAACCCCTAAACCCCTAAACCCCAACCTCTTGTCTGATGTCTGTCATGGCAAGCATGGCAGGGCTTTCACCTGGGACGGGACGTCAGGACTGTCTCGTGCCTGGCACCTGGCTCGCCAGGCCACGGTTTAGGGGTTTAGGGGTTTAGGGTTTAGGGTTCAGGCTTTAAAAGGCCCAAACCGACTAGACGATATAAGCGTAAGAATGCTATCCGAGCCCAACGATAGTTTGTCCTTGGCTTCGCACTTTAAGGTTTTGTCCCCTAGCACCGAAGCCCTACGGCCCTATATTAGAACCTGAAGCATGAGCACCACTACTAAGACCCAACGACGCAACATCCGGAGCCCGCCCTAAACCACCAACAACCCCCCCAAAATAAACCCTGATGCCCGAACCCCTGAAACCCTAAAACCCTAAACCCTAAATCCCCTAAACCCGAAACCCTCAACCCTAGACCCCTAAGGGGCAGAAGCCAGCCACGAACCCGGCAGTCCTGCCATAGCCATCAGGCAGATCCGGATCTTGGGCCCTCTCCTCAAGATTTCAGCTGGCTCTCTGAATAGTAGGGTTTAGGGTTTTGGGGTGTAGGGCTTTTAGGGTTTAGGCTCGAGGGGTTACGGTATAGGGTTCTGGATGCCCCTAAACAAGCGTTAACAAGGGCTGAGGATTAGGGCTTCGGGCAGTAGGGATCATTAACAAACAATGTTGAAGGGTTTTGGGTTGAGGGTAGCAGGGATCCTCAACAAGGATACACTGCCCCCTGCGAGTCTTCGCACTAAGAACCTACATGAAACTTGATAGCTTGTTAGTTTGGGTTTTACTCATCTTTAAGGTAAAAGCCAGAAAGTTGGAATATCATTATCCTAAATCCCTTTATGGGAAATTATAGGGTATCCTACCCTGAAACCATATTCCAACTTTCTGGAGTTCCCTTTCGGGTCAGGGCTGCAGGGCTGGCGATCAGAGCTCGCACTTTGGGATTTCGGGCTTCGGGCTTTGGGGCTAACGGCTTGGGGGCTTTAGGGTTTAGGGTTTAGGGGTTTAGGGGTTTAGGGGTTTAGGGGTTTAGGGGTTTAGGGTTTAGGGTTTAGGGTTGGGTGTTTGGACAGCTTCGGGTTACTGAAACGTTGCTTTCGGCGGATATGCGCGGGACTTGCTTGACCCTGTTCCCAGATTAGTTTAGCTCTAGCAGCTGCCACAGGGATGTGCGTTCCATACCCCACTGCATCGCGGATCATGTTGGAGCAGCCCACTTTAGCTGCACCGCCAGAATCCCTAAACCCTAAACCCTAACCCACTGATCCTTAAACCAACCTGTAGCAAGGTCTCGAACCCTGATCCCTCAAACCTGAACCCTAAACTCTAAACCCTTTTCCTTTCTTTTCAGCCCACGGGCCCACCAGATCTCTAAGATAACCCTAAACCCTAGGCCCAAAGGAACCCTAAGCCCTAAGCCCAAGGCCTACTAAAGACCTTTATGTACTCTAGAAGCCCAAAAGTTGGAAACCCACCAGCCTCAATCCCTAAGAGTAATGCATAGGGCATCCCAGCACTGTTCGTCCTTAATCCGGGTTCCAACTTCTTCGGGTTTACTATACACAAACAATCTTCATCCTAAACCCCAACCCCAGACTCTAATACCCCCTTTGGGAGTTTACTGTAGAAACCTAAACCCTAAACCCTAAACCCTAGCCCTATGCCAGGTCTCCAAGAAAAGCTCTACTTGGCTGACATCGTTGCCCTGGGCTGCGCGGGATAGCTCTCCGACCTGGTCACAGCGAAGCTCCAGCAACTTTGAGCGAACCCTCGGATGTCGAGATCTTAGGGCATAAGGTCTAGGGTCTAGGATGTAGAGTGTAATTAGGGTTTTGGGTTTGGGATGGAGAGTTTCGGGTTTTAAGAACTACGCTTCTCGGGGGAGATGAGGGCCCCCCCTGGGCCCTAGGGTTCTGAAGCTCACATGTGGTTGGCGTCATGTAACACCGCGCTACAGTCGAGCTCTTACCATACCATCCTTTATGGTCCTAACTATACCCCCCGTAGAACCACGATAAGTATATTATGATACACAATTCCCTTGGGTTGTATATTAATGAAAAATCCTAAGGAGCCCATAGCTAAAGACAGCCCTTACATGGTCCTTGACGGATGGGCCGCAGTAAGGGCTAGTTGGTGGAGGAGTTGCAGGTTCGTTAACCGGAAGTGATCGGCGGATTTTGGTGTGAGGGGGGGTTAGCGGGGTTTAGTGTTTAGGGGCGTAGCGCTGCCGTGGCCGCAAGCTCGCAACTCATGCGGCGCATTTCAATATGGCTCGGGGTTTGGAGATTCGGGCTTTGGTGTGGGAAGTTGCAATCGTGACAAGACCAACAAGTTCCTGGACCCTGAAACCCTAAACTCAACCCATGTGAAGCTCTGGCAGTAGGAATTTCAGACTCCCATCAGAGAGTCGTGGCGCTTCGTCCCCCTTGACCCTAAACCCTAAACCACGCGCCAGGGCTTGCCAGTCATGAACTAACAAGCTTATGTTTAGGGTTTGGGGGTTTAGGGCTCATGGTAATCTAGCAACTCTGAAGCCCTGAGCCCGAAATTCTCGATACTCTCAACCTAGACCCAAGAGTAACCTAGGAATAAAAAGGGTGTCCTTTTTGGTTGCAAGGGGCTTAGAAGGGAACTGAACCCCAAAAAAAAGGGGCATAAGGGCCTACTCTAGGTCCTATAGCAACTCTGAAGCCAGAACAGGGCATTCGCCTGGGCAGGAGTGGCCGCGCAGAATGGGAGCACGATCCTGTGCCGAAAACGGCTGATGCCGCGGTCACGGGAAGCGTTCCAACAAAGGTTCGGTGAGACATGCTACAGAAATCGTACACAGAATCCTCCCAGCCCAAGAACCTGAAGCTTAAGTCCTAAAGGCCTAAGACCAACCCTGAGCGCTAAACCTTACAAGCTCTACCAGCTCTACCACATGTGCCCTACACGCAAAAAGCCGTGTAGGTTCTAGTTGCCGGACAAGACCTCATGACTAAGGAAGACGTCCTTACAAGTTGTAAACGACAGGATTCTGCGAGTACAGGATTTTGCACCTACGTACACAAAGGTATACTCGAAGTTGACGCACCATGGGTCTTCAGGGACGTAGTTAAGGCCTTATTGAAAACCCAACTTCTCAATCTCCCTGAAGCCCCTTAACAACTAAACTCCATGAACCCTATAAACCCTAAACCCTTGAAGCCCTGAACGGAAACGACCACAAAAACCTGCCGAGGATCAGCTGCAACTCGCCACCCGCCCTGAAGTCCTCGTTCTTCTGCACCTCCGAAGCCCCCTAGGCACGTAATTTTGCAATATAGTAAAAGCCAGAAAGTTGGAATATGATTATCCTAAACCCTTTATGGTAAATTATAGGGTATCCTACCCTGAAACCATATTCCAACTTTCTGGAGTTCCCTTTATTCTCTGAATGATAGGAGGGTTTAGGGTTTAGGACAAGCAATAGTCTCCGAGTTTTTGAAGGGCCGAAAATAACTGAAGGTCTAAACTCTATCCCTCGATTAAAGAGGCTTGGAGGTTTTTTGAAATTTCCACCCATAAATATGGCTTTTTGGTCAGCTTGCGCTCCAGCCCGACAATACTATTAGGTAGTTGGTGTGAGCCCCTTCTTCCTCGGCCCCTCTCTAGAGCATTCAAGGGTTCGGGCGTGTTGTGGACATACGAAGCATGAATGCTGTCTAAAACCCCTGTCGCCTGAAGCTCAGACCCTACAGTAGCTGTAAACCTTCAAGTCCCTCTGATATGGCCCTCCGATGGGGTTCGAAACAAGAATCGCCCGGGTCCCTATACTGCAACAGTGCCCTCAACCCTAAATCCTATCCTGTTGACTAAGGCCCCGTAGATCTTAGGTACCGCCCCCATACAGTAAGAGTCTATAATAGGGCTACTATTCAGGTCCTAATATATCTATATAAGGAATATTATTCAACTATTACTGAGTGGGGGCCGTACCCGATGTAGATCCCAAAAGGTCCCTTAGCCAACTCTTCAAGAAGCCGGTTCTGAGGACGATGGCCCCAACAAAAGCAGCCTGGGAGCCCCAAGCCTAAACCCCAAAACCCAAAATCGTAAACCTTAGAAGCTGCCCCCACCCTGTAGTAGTGGCATAATAGGAAAACTAATAGGACCCCAATATAATCCTTGTAATCACTATTACAGGGTGGGGGCAGCTTCTAACGTAAACCCTAAACCTGGACCTTTGCACCTGTGACCCGTCGCCGAAGAGCAGTTTTTGTCGGAAGCGCGGGTGGCCGCACAAGAACCTGCAGCTTGAAAGCTTCAGGTAGGGACCCAAGATTTTACTGGGTTTGGGGCTGGATTTAGGGGTCAGGTCTAGTTCTTGTGCACTTCGTCAAGCTCGTTCAAGGTTAATTAAGGGTTCAATCTTAAAGGCTCAGAGTTTTGGAAGTGCTATGGAAAGTTGAGACCGAAACGTGCAACAGCTACTGAGTGAGCAATGCCGTGGTATGAGTCGATGCTACAGCAGCCTCTCACTGTCGCTTCCGTCACGTTCCACCCCGCCAGCAGGTTGAAAGATGATGTATTTTCGTCTGCAGCATCCATCCCTGAACCTCCCAAAACCTACTTCTTTGTAGGGTCCCTAGATTCTCCATATTAGGGTTTATAATAAGAACCTACAAAAAAGTAGGGTCTGGTGGTTTAAGGTATTGCTTCTCCGTGCTGTTCCACAAGCACGTGCAGATACATGAGTGCTTCAGAAAGTGACAGGGGGATTCCAATCGAGACCTCCTGAGCACTTGATGGCATCCATAATCATGAATATAAGGACTGCAGCAAAGGACACCTAACACTAAGACACCCCCAAATTGGGAGGAACAAAGGCACCAGACTGCCGGATGTAAACGATCGACAACGACATGAAGAAGAGATTTGGGGAGCTTCTCAACATGTGCACTGGAACGAATGTCGGACATATTGATCTTATTAACCCTCCGCATCCCAACACCACCCTGCGCAAGACTACGAGATCCTCACCTGAAGACAAAACCAGCAGAAAAAGCTTCAAAACTTTAACGGAATTTGCTAATCAAGGGAATAAGTGTACTACCTGTACTGGGCATCCTAGTGAATCAGATTTAAAGAATTCTTCCAGGCGGCTGCAGGTGTCGTTTGAGTGCCCGTAGAGGTTCGTCGCGATGGGTCAGTTTCTGAAACTCGGCAGCGTCGATGGCGAAGATCTCCTGTACAAGGATCATGGGACTTAGTAACTAGGCTTCCTTAAACGGGCTCCTTAAACGGGATCTATAGGGGTTCTATAAGGGATCTATAGGGTCTACTTAAAGGATCATGGCAAGCGGCGCTAAGACGTGGAGTCGCTATTCGGGGTAGTTTGCCTTCGGGTCGAGGACGAGTTTAGGCTTGCCCTAAACCGCAAACCATAGTTCAGGCTTGCCCGGCTTACCCTAAGCCCGAAATGGTTCATAAACCAGGACCCCCCCCCCCAAAGGGCCCTCTACTAAAGCACTCATGGTCCTTACTGGCGGGTATTTCGGACAGAATGGAGAGTACTTGGGGGGGGGGGGGGGATCGATATAGGGACACTGATACTGCTGATGGACAAAATCCTGCATGACCCTAACGACTCTACACTATGGGAACTATGGTATATTCCTTACAATGGGTAGTGCAGGATTTTGTCCATCAGCCGTCGGGAGGATCTGGGGTTACCGATGGTTCCCGGCTTGGTTGCTCCGGGGTCTAAGAGCTAAGGTTTCGGAGTTTAGGGTTCAATTCAGGGTTTAGGGGTTTGGGGCCGTTGGGGTTCAGGGGTTGGGGTTTAAAGGTTCAGTGTTTGGAGGCTCGGGGTTAGGGTTTGAGGCTGTTTAAGGTTTAGAGTTTAGGGTTTAGTAAACTGTGCACACCGAGCCGACATCAAGATCGCCTGGACGTCGAAGCTGCGATGCGTAGTTGCACAAGTGGCGCAAAGACCGCAATGTTCCGCATTGGCTGAGCTTCTGGTTACCCATAGGCCCCAAAGTAGTTCCTTTTTGGGCTTACCCTATAGGATTCTATATATGAACCCCAAAAAGGAACTACTTTGGGGCCTTAGGGTAACCTGAACCCTAACAGGCCCTAAACTTTGGCCCTAAACCTAAGCCCTCCGGCCCCAACACTTGACCCAAACCGCACCGAAAGCCATGTAGCATGAACCCTGCTCAGCTTTGCGCTATAGCCCACCATGCTTACTTACTTACACCCCCCCAAGGTTTCGCATTCCGATCTAGCTGAAGACCCTGGTTTGCAAAAAAACTGGAGCACCAACTGACGACGAGGTACTCTGCCATACAAGGGCACGTGGAAACTGATATACTCCGACTTTCTGGGGGCTTCCACAATAGCAGCCTATCAGGTGCATGGTCCCTAGCGCTCCTCCCCGGACGGCCGCCACACCCGCAGCATGGTCGGCGCGCCGCGGTCGGTGGGAATGGCTCTCTCGGGGCCTATAAACCCTACCTCCTCATGTCTGTAGGGTACCAATACCTTCTAAAATATGGTCTATATCGAGAACCTACAAGAAAGTAGATTGTGGTAGTTTCCAGGTAAGCCCTAAACAACCCTAAATCCAAACCGTTTCACCCCTCTTTTAGGGCCTGTGCTCTTAACCGTCAGGTCCTTTCCAGCAGACTTCCCAAAGAGACTGTTTCAGCTACAGCAGCCTTCGCGAATGCATTCATCTCGACAGCGACATGGTGAATGCCAACGTCGACCCACCGGAAGGGCTTCCCCCCAAGCAAAAGCAGAGAAAGCCGACTTCTTACCCAAGAAGCCAATACCTATACCCTTAAACCCCCGCAATCGTAAAGCGCTGACCCTTACAAAACCCCGAAGTCCCATTCCCTACAATCCCACAGACCGACACTTCACAAAGTGCAAAGCTGCAAAACCACTCCCGTCTATCACATGAACTGAACTTCCTGGCTACATAGCGAATCGGCGAATGAAGCCTTCGAAGAAAGCTCTCCAAACCCAAGCCGGGATTTAGGGCTGTAAGTGTATTTAGGGTCGGGGGAAGCCGGGTCAGATAGGCGCAGTTTGAGATTTTTCAATCGGAGTGCCCAGGATCGACCCTTCTGCTACGTTTTGGAGTCAACGGGGGTTCAAGGCACAAGGTTTTCACCGTTTGGTCGCTTCGTGTAGGGGGCGGGGAGGGGGTTTCAGGTCTACTCCTGTCGGCTGAAGGTTCTTTGAGGTGCTGGGTCGAGTAGAAAGAATCGTATACGGGCTTTGGGCTTAAGGCGTTTAGGGTTGAGGGTTAAGGGTATATAAGCCTTAATTACGGACGTAACATGGAGATGAGCTTGTTTGAGGGTTTAGAGCTTGGGTCTCATGTAGACTATTCGCGAGCGTTTCAGATGCTGAGGAGTTTCTTGCTCCCTTTCCTATGCGTATTCGGCCTTTCGCGCCTCAGGTGCTTCGCAGGTTCAAGGTTCGAACGGCTTGGGAATTTCGGGGTTTCATTGCTGCGGGTGTAGAGCTTAGTAGAGTTGAAGCCGGGCAGAAAGGCAAAATGTCGTTAATGATTATGGCGCCCCGGTGTTTTTAAACTGTAGTTCAAGCCCAGCTGCTCTTTCAGACTGATACATCCCGACATGTCATTGTCCACGTACCTGGAGATGCAACGGTAAATCAGACCATGGCTTCAAGGGCTAGGTAGGTCCCGAGCGCGTACACTAGACCTCGCATGCCGACTTTTTTGTATATAAGTATTCAGGCTTGTACATCACATCTTTCCGAGATTTCTGTTCGCCCATGAACAAGGGAAGCAGATAAAAGTGGACCAGAGGACGAAATCAACATAAAAATCTCAGAAGTAAGGCTTTCTGAAATTGCCCATACAGGTAATCCCAAAACCATGTACGCCATGCAGCAAGATGCTTACCTTTGGTTAGTAGGCAATGGAAGAATGGTAGTAATAGTAGTTATAATTGTACCCCATTCCTCCATTCCCTGCTAACCAAAGGTAAGCTATAGGATTATTAAGGCCCCTATATTATGGTACCCCTATAGATCCCCTATAGTAACCCTTATAGACCCATTTATAAGGCCCCTTTCAGTCCCTACTAACCAAAGGTAAGGATGTAAGATACGCAAGAGAGGTTTAGGGAACTGGCAGTCCCGGGAACTGTAGGACAAAGCCTGACATGCGTTAACGCCTCGTCGAAGTCTTAGCCATACCCACCGGCCCCATAGTAGTTCCTTTTTGGGATGACCTTATTGGCTTCTCCATATGAACCCCAAAATGAAACTACTGGGGGCCTATGGGTAACGTCAAGGTACAAACCAGGAAACCAAACGAAATTCGACAAACAAGTGCATCCGGTCATGTCACAGACCACTAAACCCTAAACCCTAAACCCCTGCCTGAACGCCCATACACTTCACCAATTATCCGAAAATTCCAGAAAGCTCCCCAAAGAAGTACGGGAGGTCATGACACTTTCATCTTAAAGAAAATTTGAACCCCTGACCCCTCCAAAGCCTTCCGATTCCAAAATCCTCTGAAGCCCTAAACCCTAAGCCCTACACTTTTTGGGATCCTTGAGAAACCGTGAACAAACTAGTGTAGACGTGTCAATAATATGCAATGATACCATTTTAGAAGCTCTCTCTCTCTCTCTCTCTCTCTCTCATTTTATACTATCATGTAGCCGTAAAGCAATACTCTAACAACTAGGGCCGCTCTGCTAAACCCTGATGGTAACCCTTACAAAAACCGTATAGAACTCTTTACACAACCTTTAAGGCACCATGTTCGAATAATTAAAAGCCCCTGGACTACAAAAGGGATCCTGGCACTAAGGCTCTTAAAGTAATGCGGTTCAGAAATCGGGGTCTACAGCGTTGGAGTTCAAGCAACCGCGCCTAAACCAAACAGCCTAAGCCCCTCAACAGCCCAATTCGTAAACCCCCAACTCCGTAAACCCCAAACACCCCTGAACCGTGTAACGCCCAAACACCCCCAACCCCTAAACCCCCTAAACTCCCGAAAAACAACACCAAACACGCTAAGCCTAACTCCTGAATCCTAAACCCGAACCCCGAAAACCCTAAACCACAAAAACATGTTAAAAACGCCAAACCGTAAACCCGAACACAGAAAAAAACGAAACCACCAAAAAGACACTAAAAACCCTAAATCCTAAACCCCAAATCCGAAAACCCAGAACCCTTCGTAAGCAAAAACGCTACGGAGGAACCTCCAAGCTCCGGCGATGTCCCCGCGGAAGTGGAGCTCCTGAGGGTCATATTATGGGAGTTTCCGACAATTAGGGGTACCTTAACAGGGATCTATAAGGGTTCCTTTACGGGTTCCTATAAGAGATCTATAGGGTTTAGGGTTTGGGAGTTTCCGAAAATTGGGGGTACCTTCTTTTGGGATCCCTATAAAAGGATCCTAAAATTTTGGGAGGGTCCCCGATTTTCGGAAACTCCCATATCGGGTGCCTTTAACTAATGGGTGGTTCTCTAAATTAGGGGCCCTTTGAGGGTCCTATTAATAAGGGTGCCGTGCTATTCTGTGGACCTACACAGGGGCCCTGATTTAGATTAGGATTTGGAAGGTGCGTAGTTTGTAGGGTGTCAATTTAGGGCTTAGGGTGTAGGCTTTGAAAGGGCTTAGGGTTGAAAAGGCTCTAGGGTCTTTCTTGGGCGATGGGTTCAGTCTTTAAACCCCTTTGCCCCTTACGATTTACAAAGCCGAACAAAAGATCGCAAAACGCAAAACTATATTGAGACCATATTCCAATCATTCCAATGACCGAGGCCTCAACATATTCAACATAGCACGGCGCGGGTGTGGGGGCTCGCCTACTACGGTTTGGTCCGTGTGTTCGTTGGTCCATTCGCACATTCGTTCACATACACGTCTGTTTTGTGGGCTCCTGTTCGTCCGTCCGTTTGTTCGTTCGTTCCTCTGTGTGTCGGTCTGCCATTGAAAGTCCGGCCAACCCGTTCGCCTTTTGGTCCGGCCGTCTGTCCGTCCTTCGTCCCTCCGTGCATTGCTTCCGCGTGTCGACACGTCGGACTCGGCCGCTCATCCGATCGTCCGTCCGCCAGCCGGCATCTGACCAGAACAAGACAATTGTAGTATCCTTAAGGGAGGGGGTCCAAGGGGGGTATATAGCCTAGTGATCCCTAATTCTCCCTAGTACTCCCTAAGGTTCCCTTACAGTCCCCTAAG